AACTGAGTATTCAGCCAATGCAGAACTATCTTGTTCTACCAGTTCTGAACATTTAGATGAAATTCAGAAGAATTCTACAATTAGCAAGTGTGTAAATGATCCCATTTTACCAATAATCCACAATAGAGTTTCTGACAACTCCCAACTGCAAGGAGAACATACAAGATTGACAGCAAAAGAGGAAAATAGGTTGTTTGTGAGAGATGATCATCTATCGACAAATGAGGGCCAGCAATTCTTGGAGTGTAACAAGTGCAACCAAAAGTTTTCGGATGCTTTTACACTTTCTTGCCATTCAGAATTGCATACTAAGCAAGATTCTGAAAAAGAGTTTAATGCAAAAAGCAGTTCTTATATCAGTAGAAAGATCTCACCACTTGTAACGTTTGAATGCCCAATTTGTGAGCGACAATTTTCAGAGTCTTTAAATTTAGAAATCCATATTAAATCCCATACAGGCCTACCTGCATCTGCAACAACCAATGATATTGAAAAGTCAAATGATACCTGTACAGTACCACCATTAAACTCTGCAAGGAATAGTTGTGAGATGAACAAGAATTATTTGACCTCACAGAAAAGTTCTTTGAGGCAAAATTCGGTGACAGAAAAACAAGAAACTAGAAAAGGAATCAAACTCTATCGATTTGTTAACAGGTCTCAGGTATCCAAGAAATCACTTGGTGCTTCAACCTTGAATCGATCAAGTACTGTGGCCATCACAGCCCTTAACAAAGCAAATGTGCCTGCTGTGCCAGCCAAACAAAACCGGATATCCTACAGAACAATGGCTAATGGTAGACGATGTTTTAAGTGTACATTCTGTGAGAAATCCTTCTCTCGACCAAGTCACCTCATTCGACATGTTCGTATTCACACTGGTGAGAAACCATTTAAGTGTACCTTGTGCATCAAGAGCTTTACGCAGTCAAACCATCTGACATCACACCTGAAAACCCACATGGAAAAAGTCAATTCCTTTGTGTGCCAATACTGCCAGAAAGTGTTCCTGTTGCCCAATGTGTTTGTGGCCCACTTGCAAACTCATGCAGCTCCTGAATCTTCTAAGTCTGTCCCAAAAAGAACTGCCGGTGAGAAAGAAAACCTGGCCAGTCCATTATCTGCTTCCTCGATGACAGCCAAACCATCAGCAAATCCAACCAGTCACACACCATCTTTGGACACTGCTGCTACTCCAACCACAAACACAACTGCTTTGCCTTCTGCCAATTCCCAAAGCTCGACAATACGTAAATTATTATCTCTTGGTACTTCAGCATTACAATCAGCAGCTGCACCTCACAGAGATCTTGAAGTTTCCGATCATGTTATTACTTTGGGGCCACAATCTCTCACCTCAGTTCTTTACCAGTCAGGTTCTGATGTTTCAAAAACATCACAATCAGGTAATGTTGTGAATTCTAACAAAGCTGACGATAACAGATGTGTATTTGAAAGAAATCCCATCAAGTCAGAACAAGACTATTTAAGAGGCCTTAGTGAAATAGCAGAGATTGACACTCAAATTGCCTTATCTTCCATAGAAAGCAACCAGATGAAAAACACTGTGTCTAACAATGGCCACACTATCACTGACGATGATGGTAGTGATGTCAATTATGATGGGATTTCTGAAATTGATATAAGTCAAGATCGAAATTGCGGCATGGATGTGAAACCTAACATTTCTACCAGTATTTCTTTCATGCCTCCTGCTGAAGCTAAAAGTGACCATGGGGCAGGCAGTGTTGGGACCTCTATAGAGTCTGCTCCAAACTGCACAGAAAAAAGGCGTGCCATTGTATCGCCTTCCAAAATTTTCTCATTTGAATGCTGCAATTCAGTGTTTAGCTCAATAGAGGAATTTCAACAGCATGTGATGTCGCATGTTAATGATCATGTAGAAAACAATTCATGCGACAGTGTTAAAATAAAAACCGAGATATTATAAGTAAAAGGCAGAAAACATTTTAAAACTTAAATGGAAGGGTGAAGGTATTAAATTAAAGTTGAAAGAGAAGGACTTGTAAGTCTGGAGCAGAGTGCTAGTAGATTATGTCGGATTATATATATTAAGAAGTAACAAAAAAAACAAAGAAAAATGTTTAACCTTTACTATATTGCAAAAAGATTTTAATTATGATTTTTTTTTTAATAATTTTGCAGAAAATACCAAATATGCATAACAAATACCAAATAACACAACAACTCAACATTGAAAATTTTAAAACCTTTTCATCACCTCAAAATTGCCATGTTTTTTATTGTTTATTTATTTATTTTTATTTTATTTTTTTTGCATATGTGCTCTAATTGCATAACCTGATGAACCAAAACATGATCCCCTGCCAAATAAGTTGTCAATCCTCCATCTTCCCACAAAAAAAGCTTTTACTCAATCAGGCATATATATATATACCCGACAAGATCACTGAAGATCAGCAGGTCCTTTAACTGTTGCAAGTTGTATAGTAGAGATTTTGCAGAGCAAATTTGCTGATCCAACATCCCCCAAAAATTGTTCAAAAGGATTGACATCTGGGGAGTTTGATGGACAGGATAAGCACAATGAAGTCTTCATATTCCTGAAACCATTCCTGTATAACATGTGCAGTGTGACAGCTTACATTGTACTGCTGAAAGGTGACCCTGCCATCATAGTAGACTTTTGGGCATCTCTACAGAAATGCGCCTCTCCAAAAAAATATTCTTTTCTTTTTTTTCCTATTACTACCAATTAAGTTCTTCAGATCATGAATTTAAAAAAAAAATTCTATTTTAAATTTTCTAAATTTTCAGTTTGTGATGTAAATTCATTGTAAAGTAATTCCCTTATGTAAGCCACCAAAACAAAAAAGTAAAATAAAATAAAGGTAAGTATGGAAAATAATAATAATAATAATAATAATAATAATAATAATAAAGGGAAAAGTTTTCATGGTTGTTTTGAAATTATTGAAAATTTTGTATGTAAGCATTATTTTAACACCAGGGTAAAAAAATAAATCAGAATATACTTTATTATGTGATATGAACATGTTTTTGACTTGGATAGATGGATAAATTTACAATAAATTTAAATAGCAAACTGCAACGCCCTCTTTAAAGTTTAGAAAGTTTTAAAGATGGATTTAATATTTGTGATCTGGAGTATTTATTTGATAGTAACATTAAAAAAAAGATTTTGTAAAAATTTCTTGGAGTGGTGTAATATGAAGGGCCTACTTGGTCTTCAATGATGTTAAGGGAGGTGGTACATAACATAGTACCTTCCACTTGAATAATAGGAACCAGTGTTTCCCAGTAGAAAACTATACAAATTACCACACTGCTTCCACTTTACAGCCTGTTGTTTTCCCACCATGCATCATCAATTCCCCTCTCTTTGGGCCACTGATTAATCCTCACAACTGAATCTGAACGCCCACAACCCATTTTATTTCAGGAATGTTCAGAAAATTTATCAAAGTCATGCACATCTTTCTTCTTGCCCATAACTGTTTCACTCAACTGTCAAAATGAAGTATGTGAGGTCGGCTTACCTGCTTATGTACCTCTAATCTTGACATATGTAATTGTTATGAGACAGTAGCTGTCGTACTTTACACATGTTTTTGTTTATAATGTTTTGGCTCATCAGCGTATTTGCCATTGTACACACTGCTACAGAGAGAAATCATCTTTAAATGTTTGTAGCTTCATTTTCATTGTTGGTTTGCATTTTAACTTGTTTACCAAAAATAAAATTTGACTTTTTGCACTATAGTAATGACTTAATACAAACCACCCTGACAAAAAAAAAAATAATAATATTTGAATCTCTAAAAGAATAGTCTAAAACCTAAATTTATAATTTATTCAGATTTTTAATTTTATTCATATTATATATAATATATAAATATATTTTATGTACTGGAAGAACAGAGTGTTTGTGCGTGTTTCTGTGACTCTACTTTGAAATCATTTTGATTTTTATGATCATTTTACTGATCATAAGGTTTTCGTTTTTAATGTTAAAATTTTCCCATATATGTTCTTGCTATTGGGCCAGTGTTGATGTTGGGCACATTATGATTTGCAACCTTGGTCACAATATTCACATTCATATTTGATTGCACCTTATTTTGACATACACATTCCTAAATTCATACATACCTATATATGGATATTTCATTTACTAGTTATAACATTGTTGACACTTTTTCAAGCCTAAGAATAACTATCAACACATCACCCTAAGCTCATTATAGATTTAAATGGCACATTATTGTCTTCCTATTTAATGCCTTCAAAAATATAAGCTCAAGTGAGCAGGTAAAAATTTCTGGGGTTAAAATTATTTAAATCATCTTTTTATAATTAAAATATTCAATCAACTCATTCTTAAAGCTAGCTTTATTTTTTTTTTCTTGTTTTGTTTAAAATATTGCTTATAAAATCAGCCCAGATTAAAGCCCTGTAGCTTTCCACCTGGTGAAACATCCTCAGTCCTAAAAAAAAATATAATTATTACAAATAAGCTGTTAAACTGTCAGCTTTAATTTTTTTTTTTTTTTTTTTACTCTTTACTTTTTTAATGAATTCAAACCATATTATCTGGTTAGGAAAAAACAAAAACATTTCTTAGATTCTGCTTTGATTGTTAGGAATAGCAAATTCCTTTGTAATGATTACTTTTCATCTCATGAAATATTAAACCAATAATATACAAACAAAATCACCAAAATATCATTTTTTTTTGTGCTCAAACATGACATCCCTCTTCCATATATACACAAACATGCATAGACAAAATTATATTTCTGTCTGAAATTCTGTGATGATGAGTTATCATTATTTATTTACACTTAGACTATTGTCTTCATTTTTTCTTAATATTGCAATATTTCCAGCATAGTGCCCTCTGGCCTTCTTCAAGTTTTTACGAGTTTCAAACTGAACTCTTTATCTAGCCTTCAGAAGTTGTTTGTTCTTGCACTTCTGATAATGTCTCAGGGGCTTATGGCCACATCACATTGAGACACTGGTTCCTGTATGATCACAAAAGTTAAGCAATGTTGATACTTAGTACTTAGATGGGTGACTGCTTGGAAATACCAGGTGCTGTAAGCTTGGATGTGCAATGAATAATGGCACAGAATTGTTAATCAGAGAGCAGAGTTTCAATTCCTGTTGTGTTTGTTATATTCACTTACATGCAAATACCCTTGGGAAATGTATGAATTCACCCCTTCCCCCCTTAATTAGAGGTTAATTAGTAAGACTTATATCACAAAATAACCTACAATGAGGTTGATATGCCACTAAACAAAAATAACCAAGTAGCCATGTCTAGGGATATCTCATCTACTTAGACTCAGAAATGGAAATGGTGACCAATAAGAGAGTAGTACTAAAATAAGAACTAGACATGATATCCATTAACATGGTCAGTGGAGCAAGAACAATCTTACTCCTATAGATTAGATTAAGGGTTCAGTTTAAAATTCTCTGAAGGCTACCTGAATTGACAAACACCTAATGAAGGTGAGAAAGAACAACAGCTGAAATGTTGTAATAATAACAAAGATGAGGATATTAGTTTGAGTGCAAATAATGTATACAAAATTATATACATCATGTTATAAAGCTAGTTGACAAAGCTATTTCAATAAAAAATAGAAAGTTTGACAATACCATTAATACGCATATGAGTCAAACAACTGTAACACCAACTTCATCATCTCACTTTATTTTATATGTTATTTATTCAAACAATTCCATTAACATGCACAACAAAAAATGAGTAAATATTGACCCTCTAATTTATGCAATCACCAATCTCTCCAGTTATGAGAATTGTCTAAATAAGTAACATCCTATAATGTTTTGATATAAAATTTTAAGAAAATTTCATATCCATAATGAAAGGATTTTATTTAGAGTTTTCAAAACTTGATTTTAAAATTAAACCATTTTAATAACTTCCTAGTTTTGGGGCTGGCTTTTATATTTTCCTTTTGCACCAGAGGTAGGTAGAATTTAAACCCTGGTAAAAGCCAGGAGTTGGCTTGCTGATTTTCAAAGCTAGCAGATCTTTGCCACTTGGAAAATTGATATAACAGAATTTTCCTGTTCTTCATTTGGTCTTTTACCATATTGAAGTAACCTTAGTAATATCAATAATTTCCCATTTGGGGGTCAGGGCAAAATATAAAATGACCTTTTTCTTAGATGGTAACTAACAAGATCATTATTCATTATCATTGCTACAATTTAATCTATATACACATAGATATTATGAAATATCTGCATATAGTCTTATGAAAGTCAATCTCAAGCTGTAAGATATTTCACAATTATGGTGATTTAAATTAATCATATTATCTATGAAATACATAACAGTAATCAGTTATTTTATTTATGCAAAATGAATTCACACATAAACTTACTGTTTTAGTAATGCTCCTAGCACTAGTCATTATGTAGTCATTTATCTAGGATTCAAATGTAAATAGTATTTGTTTTAACTGTTAGGGAGCAACTTGAAATCTAGTTTGGAAACCTCAAAATGAAAGAATGTTCAGATATACATTGTATTCTCTTGGCTTTTATTATAAGTCTAATACATTGAATTATGATTTATGGCATCTAAAGACAAACAGACATTTCTTTTGCTTAGTCAATGTTGCTGGGTTTTTCAGAATAAATATGCATTGGCAAAAATGATGTTTCATATTGGAAAAGTAAATTTAATAATTTTCCCTGATTGTCTTAATCACTTTAGTCACTTGCTAATGTCCAAGCTGCACATGCCAATACAAAAAGCACTTTTAATTTAAGTCAGTTTCCCAAACTCTTAACCTAAAATAGATGCTACCTTAAGTCTAGTCTATATATTGATTTTTTAAGCATAGCTTAGATATGGCACAAGGCCAAAAGTATTGGGCACCCAGTGAGGATCAAACTCACTACTCAGTTTTAATGGTTCTAGTGAGACAGGCTTGCTAACCATTACACCACATCGAGATGCCCTAAATGATTTTCTAAGCACAGCTTAGATGTGGCACAAAGCCTAAAGTTTGGAACACCCAGTGAGGATCGAACTCACTATTTAGTCATAATTTACCTAGCAAGACAAGCTTGCTAACCATTACACCATGTTGAAGTGCCTAAATAATGATTTTCTAAGTGCAGCTTAGATGTGGCACAAAACCAAAAGCATGGGGCACCCAGTAAGGATTGAACTCACTACTCAGTTGTAATGGTTCTAGCGAGACAAGTTTGCTAACCATTACACCACATCGAGGTGCCCAAGTCTAGTCTATATAAGCTAAACTTGAATACCAAATTTTTCTCTAAAGAAATGAGTAATTTTTTAAAAATATTTTTTGGCGATGTTTAACCTTCGTGTTCACAAAAAAACAGTGTTTCAAAAGGATAGTTATTCCCTTGGCACTGCTATTTCTGTATGCACTTTTGACTCTCGGTAATGTTCATTTACAAGATGTGAACCAAGTACAATGTGATATTTATTATTTACCTGTTATAAAGCAATAAATGTGAAAAATCTTTATTCAAAAATTTATTAAAAAATTACAAAATTATCAAAAGATGTAAACCAACTACAATGCTATATTTATTATTTACCATTTGATAAATAACTATGAAAACAATTTTTTTTTTTATTCAATCTAATAAATAAATTGTTTAATATCTTTGTTTTAAAGAAAATGTATAAATCCATTTTCATGTTTGCTGTTTTATTAAAATTCTAAACATCATTCTTTAAAAACAATAAACATTGCTGAGGGAGTCAAATGTGTATACAGTAATAGTGGTGTCAAGGGAATAACTGTTCTTTTGATACACTGTTTTCTTACAGGCACAGTGGTTAAACATTTCCAGGTTTTTAATTAATATTCCTGTTTTCCTCTCAACTACCCGATCATTGTTTTTTTTTTTTTGTTTTTTTTTTTTTGCTTTTTCAATAAGGTTGCTTTAAAGTTTCTTATATTATCTTGACAAAACTTTGTGCCTCTGTCACAGCTAGTGTTTTCTCTAAAAAGTATATTAACAAGTGTTTCAAAAATATTAAAATAAACTTCTATTGCATCTGTCTGCATTCAAAGAAGAAATGTTTACAAATGTTATTTATAATGACATCATTTTGGCTATTACTCTAAGAAATCTTTCATCTTTATCCATCCAACATTCTTGTTCCTTCTTCAGTGATTTGTAATTATTCATCATCACCATTATTTATTATTATTTATTCAATCAGCGGACTGTTTTTTCTATTTTTTATTACATATTCTTTCTCAATTGAATTTATTGCCATTATTTGTTATATATGGACCCTGATTAATATTTATATCTTCTTTTAAGACCTTGCCTTTATATGTTTTTTTTTTTTTTTTTGTCAGAATTTCTGGGATGAGGAATTATCATTATTTACACTATTTATATTTGGACTGATGTCATCATATTGTTGTTTTTATCACAAGGTTTCAGTCATTGTGCCCTCTGGCCTTCCTCAGCTGCATATCAATCTGGGTAACCTACAAGGAGTTCTGAACTGAACCCTTTATTTAATCTACAGGGATAGACTGTTCTCATTCCACTACTCATATCTAAGGATATCATCTACTTCATATTTTTATTCAGTACTGTTCAGTTATTGCTTGCCCTTTTCTACTGAGTGCAAGTACATACTGCCTGACCCAACTATTGGACCCACAACCACTATGTCACCAAATTCATAAACCAACGCTTTTAGCTACTAAGCAAGAAGTGGGATTGTCAAGCAATAACTGAACAGTACTAAATAAAATAACAGGTAGACAGTATCCCTAGACATAAGCAGGGAAACGAGAACAGTCCAACCCCTACCTAGATTAAATAGGGTTCTCTTTGGAATTCCCTGTAGGTTACCCAGATTGATATATACCTGAGAAAGGTTGATAGGCACAAGAGCTGAAACACTGTGATAAAGACAACAAAGATGAGGACAATAGTCTGAATATAAATAGTGAAAATAATTTTTGAATTTGTTTTTATTTCAGATTATAAGAATCACCAGTTGGCTTTATTTATAGATTCAATTTTCTATTGTCAATGTTGATATTGAAAACATTGCATTTTTTTAGAGAAACAGCTTACTAATGCAAATGTATTGGATTTTTAATCCAACCAATCAATATTAAATAGACTCTGTTAATAGTTAATTATATCATATAGAATTTAAAAACATTCTCACCTTCATAGTGACTGACAGTGTTATTGTAGAATCTTTTGCTTGCCTCATTTTTGCAACTATAGAAGACTCAGAAGTGATTTACTATGTATTAGATATAATTTGTTTAAATTTAACTTTTCCTCTTGAGGCTTTCAGGCCAGTACATTTGAATTGTGCTATAAACCTAAGAACCAGTTGTATTAATCAGAAGGAGCAAGCATTGCCAGATTCTCCACTTTGCATGTGAGCGTTTTGATTTCTTTTCTCTTAGTATTCTTTTAATATCAATGCAAATTAAACAAAGATATTTTTGGTGAAGCTTTATTATCAAGTACATTTTATCCTGTAGTGTAAGTTTATAAGCATTTTAAGGCTTTCAAAGTCTACTCACATTAAATCACAAACAGTGGGTTTAGTACTAACTTGTGTGCAAAATTGTGAAGAACTTTTCTGGGGATAAACTAGAATAAAGATAAAATCTTTTAATTTTATTAATATAGAAATAGAAATGCTTATTATTATCATGAAGTTTTCACTGGTCTGATCAGAAATGATAACAGAGTTTGGTACTTATGCTAACAAGATAATATCTTGTTCATATACTGCAAAGATAATAGAACAACAAAAAAAAGAACTCTGAATTTCTCAGATTGAGTAATTATTATTAAGAAAGCAGCAAGCCAACAAAGTGATGCTGGGTACAAATATACAAAGCCCAATATACCCATCATGATACCCTGTATTATAAGGGTAATGCCAGTTACATGCATCATGGCCAGATGTGCACAATATGGTGACAGATTTTGATAAAAGCAGTGCATAACCTTGCAGGTGGGTCCCAGTTAGAAATATCTTGAAGCTGGCTACATCCCCCTCCACCATTTGCTGAGTGA